CGGGGGGGGGGGGACAATCCAGACAGGGGACCCTCCAGATGTTTCCCCTTAAAAACCTAACATAATCCCTGACGGAGGATGGCAAAAAATCAGTAACAGGGTAGATTTAGTAAAGACCCTGCATAAACATCTAAATTGAGGATTTAATACATTTGTTGTTTTTGTTACACTAGACTCAGAGTTGCATCAGCACATAAAATTAGCCTAGCTCCACAAAATATAGCCAAGCTCCAATGGATGCCATTATGACAACTCCAGGAAGAATTAGAAAGAGGGCAAAAGCTAAAAGAGAGCTTAGTATAATTTCACTAAAGTCATGTTTGAATTCCACGGAAAGAGTAAGCAGATAATTTCGCATTTGATTCATAAAGTTCAAATTAAGATATTTGGTATACAACACCTGATGAAAAACGTTGTCAGTAAGCAGGCAGGAATACTGACAGAAACAAGTACACAAATAACAAGGGGTAGATAACTCCTGAATTGGGTGTACAAATTTCATGAATTGAATTTGAACTAGCTTGCAGTAAATTTTAATCGGCTTCGATGGGCCTGAATAGATTGGATTGTTTTTGGAATGGTTTGAAGTATTTTTGAATTGGGGTAAGGGGCCGGGTAGTCGACAGTTTAAGGGCAAGGCTTTTCAAAAGTGCCTTCAACGGAGCGTGGGTGTACGGTAGCGTCAAGGAAAATGTCGGGGGTGTGGTAGACGGATAAAACTTAATGCCCCATAGATCAAAAATGGAAATACATACACTTTCGTACACAAAAATGTACAACAACACACAGTGTTCAAGTTCATTGGCCCAGAAGTTGACTCCTTTGGCCCAGTAGTCGACACTCTGTCATTTTACCCGGATTGCCAAGTCTTACGGGTCCCTGCAGCCTGGCTAGCCTGCCTATGCCTCTCGGTCGTCTTTTTGGCCATCATGGTGTCCTTCTCAGCCCTCTTTGCGAGGTGCTGTTTGGCTTTTTCGGCCTCCAACCGACCTTTTTTGAAATATGGTGAAAAACGATTTTTTTCTCGCTTTAAAAAACGTCGTTTTTTGGCTACATATCGGAAAACAATTTTCATAGCGCAATTAGTCTAAAATGAAACAGTTCTGTCGCGTCAAAGCACACCTTATAATGTATAGGACGACGCGATGTGACGTACAAAAACCAGGGAGGGGAGTGCCGGCAATAGCTTGCTAATTAAACCTTAGTTAGTCAACTAAAATGTCTTGTGGGCAAGCTGAAGATGTTATCGCACAGCGTATCGACTCCTGAGTTATCTCCTTATATAAATTCAACACCGAACCGCATATAGCCATTCCCAGGATTATGCCTACGGGAGCCCAGGGGGGTGAAAAGTGTCAATTTCCCTCAATGACCCAACTTCGAACCCTTAGAGAGGGATTAAAGGTCAGACATTGAACCAGAATGGACTGTTTCGCAAGTCTTGGGATATCTTGAAGAACTTTATTCCAGGTATACTTGTTCAATCCCAGGTTTTCACTCAACCCTAGCGGCCAGCCGCTCGGACTGCGGCAGTGAAATTGGGGTTCCAACCTCCTCCCCCAGTATGCAGGTTTGTAAGTCGACGCACTCTTTTG